ATGCCAAACAGTGCTCGCTGCCTTTGCCTCTCGTTCCTTCGTCATTTCTACTCAAGCCGAGGCCAAGCCGAGCTCATCTTTCCCATTCCTTCATTCCTGCGTGATTTCTGTGGTCAGCCAAGGTAAAGTTCACAATCAAAGCCAAACAGGGCACCTTCTGAACGCAAGAGAGCCAAGACCTGTAAGTGGATTTTGCCATATCTTCTCTTCATTGTTGAAAATGTCTAGATTATTTGAAATATTAATTGTTGTTTTTTGAAACTTACTAAAAAAAAGCTAATGTACATGCTCGGTGATGCTAGGTATTGCTATGTACATGCTCGGTACCGAGCAAACACATTGATGAGGACATCAGATCATGGAAGGTTTATCAGAGACGCGGCCGCCGATCTACGACCACGATTGAGTCATTGTATTTTTTATTTATGTTATGTATTTTATTTTGATTTATGTTATGTATTTTCTTATTTATGATGTCGTTGTATTTATTTCCCGATGTATCCTTTTATTAAGGGATATCGTATGTAAGCCCTAAGGGCATTGCCGTCTTTTCTATTTTGAGTCTTATGTACGAGGCTATTTATATCCCCTATGTTTCTCTTTGAGAGGTAATGAATGATTGATTACAATATTTTCCTGATACAAGCAACTTAAAGCAAAGCACAAAGAGAGAACAACAAAGAGAATCAAATCTTACTTTTATAAATTTAAGACATTACTTAGAGAACATAATAGGTTAGAGAAAACAATTAAACTTCAGAATAGGAAAGAGGCAAACTTCCAACGACCAAAACAAAAGAAAACTAGCAAAGAAACAAAAATAAAAAAAAAAGGCTATCCTCAGAACATCCTACAAGAGGACTCCTCACATGCACCGATTGTAGGAATATATTTTAAAATATGGTTTAGATATGCAAACCAAGGGTCCACCACTGCAAAGGGGTTCCAATGTCCTTTTAAACTCCTCCAGCAAATGCCACCAAACAGCCAACAACTTTTACCAATGGAACTAGAAGAAAGATACAGGTGGAGTGGAACTTGCGTAGAGAAGAAAGAGGTTAGAGGCCCAGACGAAGGGTGGAGAAGCTCGCAAGCCTTCCAAGAGGTAGAAGAGGGAATGGACAAAGCTCTCAAGCTTTTCCAAGAAGAACCCGCAGGTTATAGCAACTTTGCTCTCAAATATTCACCAACCATTTCTTCTCAAAATATCACATATATATAGGCAATAGAGGGGAAACTTAACAGCCCAAAAGTTCCTCAAATCCCCATATAGAAATGAAAGGCCAAAAGCTTTCCTTGCTGAAATCCCAAGAGACACAGTAAAAATCCAAGCAGAATAAAGCCACGGAATCAGCCAGAAACAAAGCAAAAGCCACGGTTTCAGCACAGGAAACCAGGATGCAAGTTACAGTTCCAACAGGGAATTCAAGCAGACCGTGGGAGAGAAATCCAGAGAAGAAAAACTGCAGCAGCCCCAATTCAAGAAGAATATGAAAGAACAAGTTCCACTCACCAAATCTAGCTCCCAAACATTACTTCTCATGAGGGCTTGAGAGTTTGGAGTGAAATCCCTAAGAGAGGGAGATTTGCGCAATACCCATCAACCTAGAAAAGTCGGGTTCATGGTTCTACCTTCTATCTCTTTCTCTCTTCCTTCCCCTACCATCACCGGCAAGACCACCCCTCCTTCCATCTAGCCGCCACCCTTCACTACCCGAACCCTTCCCCCACACCCCATCTACGGTTCCCACCCAAAACCGCTGGTCCTAGCCCCTTAGCCGCCGGCCCCATCACTTCCCACGTCATCCTTAGGTTTCCTAATTTGGTTGGATTTAATTTGGAATCAATTTGAAATTCAAATCATCTAAATTTGAAATTCAAAATTCTTTCCTAATTTATTTCATCTATTTTGGGAAAGTTCTTAATTTAAATCCATTTGAATTTTAAATTCAAATTGGCTTTGATTTTTTACTTTCCTAATTCCTAAAACCAAATTAAGAAGCCTTAATTCGTCCCATTAATTTCTCCCTACCCAAGCATGCCGCTGTCCCCCCTTTGAGCTAGGATTGGAATTCTTTCAAAATTCCATCTCTCTCTCTTAGGGAAATATTTCTAATCCAATAATTTCCCTTGGCCGAATTTTACTAAAGCTCGTAACTCTTAATTTATTTCCAAATCCAAGTATTTGATTTAGGAAATAAATCCCCACCCAATCTCCCCCCCCCCACACCACCCCTCATGAATTCCCCTCCCCGGATTTTAGGAATTAAACTTTCCCTCCCAGTCCACTACTCTCTAATTCAAAAATCTGAAACTTATTTCAGATTTTGGAATTGAATCTCTCCTTCAACCTATCCCAATCCCACTAGCCGATCTCTTTCATTGGCTGACTCTCTCCTCCACCTAGCTCTTGCTTCTTGTGAGAATCCCTCTTCTCTTAAGAACATCTACGAGCCTTGAAGACGCCATCGATACCCGAGGTACACGAAGCCATTGCATGGTCGATCCTGACACCGACTACGGACTTGCCTACGACGAGCATGGTTTCGTAAGCATTCTCCATTCAACCTTCTTCGACGTCAACCTGAGGATCGATCAGACAGTTGAAGACTACATCGAACGCATCTTGGACACTTTGGTTGAAGCTATTAAAGAGCAGTTAGAGATCGTCGAGTGTAGGATTGCCGCCGATCCTTAACGAAGGTTTTCTACTCCACTCTCGTATTTCTTAAGTCTAACCCTCTCTTGTGATTTGATTGTAGTCACGAATGATGCATTCACCTGATTATGCTAAGCTTAGTAAACGCAAGAATTTGAGTGCATTCATTTGGTTACTAATCTTATTGTTACACTAGGAATTTTGTTGAAACTACTACTTGGGCATAATGTTATTTTCTACGCTATTTTGAATATTCAAATCTTTTGGATGTGCAACTTAGCCTAAACGAAAGTGACCCCTCTTACATTTTGATTCGTTGTTTTATCTGTTAATAAGTTTCTTTGTTATTTCTCTAATCAAGAATTTGTGCAAATTCTTATTAAAATCATTTGCAAGCATCGTAATCCTATATCATACATGCTCGGTATCGCTCAGTACATGCTCGGTACCGCTCGGCACATGCTCGGTACCGCTTGGTATCTTTACATACAAACTTAAGAACTTTAAAACAAGCATAACTTCAAAATTACTCTTACCCCCGCAGGGGCGCTTCCCCTTAACCCCGCGACCTGACCCCGCTAGGGGGCAGCACCCCCTTGGACCCCTGGCAGACCGGTATATTGTTGTATTCATGTTGTCTTATTATTGGGATATTTTGATTTCACTTCATATCAATTTAACTTGATGTATTCCTATGTATGATTGGTTTATTACAATCTTATCTAGATAAAAACAATGAATAATCAAGATATAAATGAAATTATAATTTCTATATTGAAAGATAGTAGTTCAAATAGAGAATATACATTATGATTTAGGAGGAATATACACCAAGCTCTAATTTGTTAGTGTCATATAATCTATTTCACCAGTGAGTTAGTGTCATTTAATCTATGACATAATGTTTTAAATACATGTCTACTTTGCCATACATGTCATATAATCTATGACATAATGTTTTAAATGTTTTAAAATATGTCAACTAATTTGTTAAGGGTTTTTTCTTCTATTACACCAGTGTATTTTAAAGCAAAATGAGCTCTGCTGTTGGCAGGAGTGGATTAAGTGAAGGTTCAAAAGAGCCATCTGTAGAAACTGATAAGCAAAGGATCAAAAGGACACTCCCTAAAGAGATACCTTTGTCATCTACTCAAGTCTCATCCCACACTTCTTCCGCATCTGTGAGAGTTAATCAAGCTTTATCATTTAGAAGTGAAGGATATGAAACAAATAAAAGACAAGGAGTTGACAGTAGTCCTCTAGAGAAGGCTTTTAATTTGCTTTGTATTATTTAAAGGTGTTCACGTAAAGAATGGCTTCAAGAAGACTCTCAACATGTCTCACCACAAAAATATTTAGAAGTTTCATAAATGAGAAAGATATGCCTGAAAAGATATTTCCCAAATGAGGAGAGAAGAAAAATTAATATAGAACTTGCAAAATTCTTTAGATATTTAGAGGATTTTTGTGATCAAGAATCTTTGGTTGATAGATAGAGGATGGATACAAAAATGTGGTGATTGATTCATGGAACTTCAGCACCGCTGCTTCAAACAATAGCAATAAAATTTCTTAGTCAAGTATCATCATCTTCCTGTTGTGAGAGAAATTGAAGCACATACTCATTTATTCAATCAATGAAGAGGAATAAAATAACACTACAACGAGCTAAAGATTTAGTTTATGTGTATACAAATCTTCATCTTCTATCAAGGAAAGCCTCACTTTATATGACAGGAAATAACAAGATGTGGGATGTTGCTGGAGATGGGTTCGAGTGCCTTGATGATATGGGATTATTGGAGGTTGCAAATCTTTCTCTAGATGAACCAGAGTTAGAAGCAATAATATTCAATAATGATGATATTGAAGGCCAAAGACTAACCTCTGAATCTAATTCTATCATTCCCTCTATTGAGTAGTTGGACCTTCATGTTGTACTAAATGATTTTTTGCTTATATTTTTGTGGTTGTACTAGACATGTTGTACTAAATAACTTTATATTATAAGCTAAACAAATTATCATGAAATTGATTTATTGTTGCTTGTCATTTTTCATATAATGTCACCTTAATTTATATATATTATATTAAAAAATTATTATGTTATGTCCACGCCGCACCTGTGTCCTATATTTTTAAAAAATGCCGTGTCCCGTGTTCGTGTCGTGTTGTGTTTGTGTCGCCGTGTCCGAGTCGGTGCATCATAGGATCTCCCCCTCCCCCCCATCACCAAAAAAAAGCCCAGTAATAAAGGATACAAAGCGAAAACTATTAATATTCTAAAATTCCACATTATTAACCACAGCAGAGAGAAATTTAGCTAATATAAAAAACCTACCTGTTTTTTCTTCGCACGCTTTTCTTTATCACCAGCAGCTCGTTTTGCCTTTAGCTCATGCTCAGCTTGCCCAGCTTCTTCCTCCTCCCGAATAAGTTCTTCTTGTCTCTTTAAAGCAACAGCCTCCTGGTAAGCAACTTCAATTCTACTGCTACAAAAAGACACATAAGCACCAGATAGGAAGAAAATTGAAGCAGGTCTTGTGCGATTATATACATTTAACAGATAAGTCGAACAAAAATAGAAGATTCTGAGAAAAGGTAATTGTGTAAATAGGATCAAAACCCATCATCCACGTTAAACATCCAAAAAAACATTACTCTCTAGCAGCAAGAGTTCGGTCAGAAATATAAACATTCAAAAATTATATATCAATCAATGAAATTAGAGTACATTTTAAATGAAACATCAACAAGACTATTCTACAAAGTACAAACCATAAAAACCTATGCACAGAAAATTCCTAAATTTTACCCTATATCACATCAAGAAGAATCCTTAAAAGTAAGACCAGCACAAGGAGAGACTCCTTTCCATAAAGTGAAAATAGCTTTCTTGTCCTCTATTTTCAATTCAATCAAAATATGGTACTGATAGCAGTCTCGTAAAACAATTAAAATAAATTTGATCTTCTTCATTAATGAAACCGGATATGACCAAACTTCATCAAATTCCGAAGAAAACTAGTTAAGTAAATAGAAAATTATGGAAGATATTCTCCAACATGCACATGTTTATTTCTCTGAAAATCTGAGAGATAATTCAGCCGCTTGAGGCATAAAGATTACTAATGACAGATGGCAAGATGGGTGGCCAGCTTTGCAATCCAATTGATTTCCAAGCTGGCCACCATTCATGCCAATACTCTCAAGCTGTATAGTAGATAGTTTTCATCTAACTAAGAGGTAATAATCTGGAATGTGCAGCTCAACAATCTTTTGGCTTGATATCAGCCAACTGCTTATGTGTTTGAATATTTGGGATACATATTAGTCTACTTTCTAATGTTTTGTTTGATGAAATGTCAATCAATTTCTCAGTGGTTGGTTCTATCACGACATACTGGATTGTGTGAGATGTTTATGGTTGATTTGTTATCACAGTCTAACTTCATAATATCTTCACATTTTATTTCCAAGTTATTTTAGATAATTTTAACCGATAATAATTCACATATTTCATGGGCCATTGCCCGGAATTTAACTTCAACTCTTGACCTAATAACCACTGATTGCTTTGTGCTTCACCAAGTGATTAGACTCTCACCTAGGAAAGTGCAATAACCAGTAATAAGCCTTCTATCTATAAGGGATTCTACCCAATCAATATTAATGTAAACTTCTAAATTATGCCTTCTATATCTTTCGAATAAGATTTCTTTTTCATGATGTTACTTTGAGATATTGAAGAATCTTCTATGATGCCTATAGATGTGTTTCTCTAGAGTTATTTTAAACCTCCCATTATCAACTTCTGGGGAACTGCCCGCTTCTGCAAGTTTGTGGCAGTAGTCAATCGTGGCTTCTAAGGGCTTGCATCCTATCATACTTATCTCAATTAGTAGATCGAGGATGCATTTTTGTTAAGAGATGAATATCCCAACATTTCAATCGTCACTTCAATTCCAAGAAAAAATTAGTCTTCTATGACCTTTGACTTCAAATTCTTTTAATAGTTGATCTCTTTCAGCTCTCCTCATTTATTCTAGATCATCTCTGGTAATCATCAACCCATCTAAATACACTATGAGAATTGTAATTTTACCATCATTGGATTTCCTTACGAATATAGTTTGATCTCCGCGCTATTTTTAAATTTCATCTTTATCATGGCTTTGATAAACTTCCCAAACCATACACTACAAGATTGTTTGAGTCCGAGTAGTGCTTTCTTCAACCTGTATACATGGTTAGTAGTATAATTTTGATTAGAACCAAGCGAAGATTTTACAAAAACGACTTCTTCTAGTTTGCCAGATAAGAAAGAAATTTTTATATCCAACTATTATAAGGACAAGTTAAGGTTGGTCGCAAATGATCTAAATATCCAGAGAATGTTTAGCTTTGCAGCCAGTACAAAAGTTTCACCATACTCCACTCCATATGCCAGGGTTTAGCTTTTTCCTGAATTTAGTTTTATAACTTTCAAGTATATTTAACAGTATATTCCTACTAATATCTGATTAATTTCTTTTCTTTTGACATTTACACTACCTTCCATATTTGGTTCTCTTTTAGAGCTATCTTTTCTTCATGCATTTTCTCATTCTTTATTCTTAAAGTGCTTATTGGATACTTATTGGAACTTTAATATTATTTAGCTCTGCAAAAAAAGTGCTGTAGAAGGAAATATTATAAAGATGAATAAAATTGGTTATTAGATGTTAGGTGCATGTTTGAGTTTCCTTTCCCAATGCAATAGGAATATTGATATCATGAGTGGTAAAATCATACTTTCACTGCATGGTGGCTGCTCATGCACAGATTCAGATGGTTGAGCAATGAGCATGCTTTTGATTAGCATTGAGCTTCTCTTTCTTCTTTGGAGAGTGTACATGTTGCAATGATTTTTTTGGGTTGTTATCTGAGGATTATATTTTTATATGTAAGGAAATCTCGCAATTATTCTGACTTTTTGGGTTGGTTGGGTGATTGGGATATAAGTGTAAGAAAATTAAATTTGTCCTCATTCCAAAGCTTCCCCTGAAGACAATCTTGGCCATAAAATTGTTAATTTTTAGAAAAGATAATAATATGAGAGATTAACATTGTCGTTGTCAAGTCCTAAGCCCTGGATGAGAAAAGTGGATGGTTGGGTTAGGTAGTCCAAAAACTAGCATAGAACTTGTTGAATAATCATGACATGAATCATTTAATACATTATGTTAATGCTAGAACATTCTCTAGAAGCGATACGCTAAATACTGTAAATACAACAAGATGTGTGCAAGAGTCGATGCACCGGCACCCAGGTCCAATTTTAAATAAACAAGGGTTCACATATCATGGACAGATGTGAGCAAAGAAGCAAATCCATGAAACTAGAATTATGATAGGACTTGGAATATATGTGCTCTTAGAGGTAAATTAATAAAATTAATAAATATTATAATTCATATAATGATAAATATTCTATATATTCAGAAAACTAAATGGATTGGAGAGAAAGTTAAGAAGATAGTTTAGGATTAAACAATAGTATTCAAGTAGGATTCGTATTACAGATGAAATAGGTAATGATTATAGTTAAGAGTTTGAAGTATAATATTGTAAAAATTAATAGAATTGAAGATATAATTATAGCTTTAAAGATTGTTTTTAAAGCTAAGATTATTAATACTATAAGTGCTTATACTCCTCAAATAGATTTCACATGTGTTCAAAATTAAAATTTTGTAACAACTTAGAAAAATTAATGCAAAATATATTTTTTTGTGCAAAATATATTTTGAAGAAAGAATTTTTTTTGGAGGAGATTTAAATGGTCATGTTAGTAGAGAGGTAGAAAACTTTAAAAGCATTCATGGTGACTATGGGTTTGAGCAACTAATAAAGGTGATGGAACCGTATTAGATTTTCCTCCAGTTATGATTTTGTAATTGCTAATACTTTATTTAAGAAAAGAAGAGCATTTCATCACTTAAATGAATGGATATTGTAAAACTCAAATTGATTATTTTCTTATAAGAAAAATAGATCGTTTAGATTGTAAAGATTGTAAAGTCATTTCGAGTGAAATGTCATGTATTGAACATTGCTTATTTGTTTTGGATGTTAAGATGAATGATTGGAATAAAAAAAATAAAAAAAAAATAAAAAATATTGTCCAATATTAAATTAGGGCATTTAAACAATACTAATAAAATATTTTTGAAAGTAAGATTCAAAATCTTAAGAATTTGATAGTACATGAGGAAGATAATGTTATGTGAAAAAAATAGCTATTAATATTAAGAATGCTGCAAAGAATGTGTTTAGAGTATCCAAAGAAAAAGCTCATAATAATAAAAATAATTGGTGGTGGAATTAAAATATGCAAGAAAAGATCAAAAATTAAAAACTTAATAGCTTAAGTGTAAAAGCTTGGAACATTGGAAACGATATAACAAGGCCTATAAAGAGTCTAAGAAAATAATATGCGATGTAAATAAATTAGTTTTTAATGATTTATATAATATATTAGATATTAAGGAGATCGATAGGCATATGTATATGTAAGTCAAGCAAAAAGATAAACGATGATTTAGTTCAATTAAAGTGCATTAAGGATGAAGAGAAAAAAGTGTTGTTATTAGAAGATAATATTCAACTAAAGTGGATGAGATATTTTGATAAGCATCTCAATGAAAATTGTGAGAACACGATTAGAGCATTAAAAACCTTAGCACCCTAAATAAAAATAAAAATTTTTATTTTTATCGGCGTATTAGTAAAACAGAAGTTAGAGGGGCTATACATTTATTGAGAGGTTTGATGGAGAATTATAAAGAGAATAAGGAGGATCTACACATGATATTTATTCATTTAAAGAAAGCATGTGATAAAGTTCCAAGATAAGTGCCCTAGAGAGTTCTAGAAAAGAAAGGGGAATAATGCTTATATTCAAGCCATTAAGGATATGTATGCATAAGTTGTTACTTGTGTTCAAACACAAGGTGATTTGGCCAAGTATTTTTCTATTTCAGTTGGATTATATCAAGAATTATTTTTAAGCCCATATCTTTTTGCAATAGTCATGGATGTTCTTACTAGACATTTGCAAGAGGATGTACCCAGGTGTATGCTTTTGCCTAATGATATTCTTCTTCTTGATAAGATTAGCGAGAGAATTGAAGGTAAACTTGAACCTTGGAGGCCAACCTTAGAGTCTAAAGGTTTTCGTTAAAGTAGATCTAAAAAAGAATATATGGAGTGTAATTTTAGTATAATAGATCTAGTGAGGCGACTGTGACTTTGGGCGATCATATCATTAACAAAAGCACAAGTTTTAGATATCTTGAATCTATTGTTCAAAGTGAAGGTAAAATGGATGGGGATATTATTAGTAGAATTCAAGTTGGGAAAGCAGGTAAACCAACATTTTCACTAAAAGATAATGTCTCTAACATAAAACCGTATCTCCCTTCTTCACTTCTATGTTTCATTTAGTTAAAAAGGGACACTTTTCTAAGTAGTTGAATGCGCATTTGGTCATATTTAGCATCTACTCCAACTAAAAATCCATAATTATTTCTCCTTCTACAAAAGTCTGCATTATTGCAACATCTACAAGGCCTCCTATTTTGACACACCAGTAAAAATCAAGTCAGAACTATTGATCATTTATTTTGGTATAGTACTCTATAATCAAAGTTTCACTTGCTTGGTGAGTTGGTGGAATGAACTTTTATCTATAATCAAAAGACTAGGCGCACCTAGGAATATGTATATTTTATACCACATCCAGAACATAGATGGCTGTGGTTAATAACAAGTAGATTCCGGTGACTTGTAATATTATTGAATTCCATAGCCATGACATAATTAATAAATCTCATATGGCAAAATTAAGATCATCTCCACTTGGAATGGGGCCAATAAAGCGGTCCAACTTCCCTTTTCCTTTAAGAATGGTATTTCATAATCTGGGACAAAATAAGTTAATTTCTTCCATTTAATTACAATGAAAATTAAGAGTTTTGGTACTCATCTACAATAGTTCAATTAGGATCATTTGATAGGTCAACAAATACTAATGTAGGCCATTTTTATTTAAAAGAAGGAAAAATTTTTCCTTCTCTGGAGTAAATTTCTTCCCGTGGCAATTGAGGCGATTGCAAATGAAATTCAAGCAAGGGAAACCGAGAAGTAGAGGACGATAGGTGGGACAACAAATAGGAGATGGCCTGCTATAGCAAGAGGTAGACACCAAAAGCAAGTAGTGGAGTTTGGGGAGGAAACCAACAACTGTTAAAGGGGATTTTGGACTAAGAATAAATCACAGAAATAAAAGTACAAATAATAATTTGAATTTTGTGTATTTAATTAAGAGTCTTGCTCTTCTATTTATTGATGAGGACATCAGAAGATCAATGATTTACGGCCACGATCTACTATTTATTATTATTGTATTTGATATATTTTATTTTATGTTTTATGAGTCTTTTGTATTTCTTTCCGTTTATGCCCTTGCTTAAGGGCCTCGTCATGTGTTTGCCGGAAGGGCAATTGTGTATTTTTATTTTTCTTCATGTATTCGGCTATTTAAGCCTTCTCCCTCCTCTTGGAGAGGGATGATGATGATTATTGAAAATAAAATTCTTCTCTTTGTGAGTTCATATTTTCTTGATCTCTTAGTGAGTTCAACTCTCCTAATCTCTGTGTGAGTTCTAGGAAAAGCCCAAGGTGAGGGCAAAAGCAATACCCGCCAGTCGTTGGAAGCGTCCTCGACTCGTGGTTTATTTTATCTTATTGTTTTCTTCTCCAACTCTTGTTTTCCTCCCCACGCCAAGCCCTACCCGAGATCCAATCATCCACCGCTTTACCCACTAGCTTCCTCCACTACAACCCAAGCTCCATCAAGAAATCCCCAAACCCGACGGCAAGCCCCCTCTTCCTCCTTTGGCCGCCGGCCACCACCTTGCCCCAAGCCATGATGAAGATGTCAATCATCATAATAGCTCCTTGATTGTGTCCTAGCAATAAATAAAGGAGTTACCAATTTTTTTTTTAAATTTCAAAATTTGAAATTCAAAAACTTACCATATTTGCAAAATTCCTAAAAAGAAAAGTTTTGAATTTGATCCAATCCAAATTTCATGACATGTGGAATCACTATTTTTTTATCCTATGTGACATCAACATGATGGGAAGGTAAACGACCAATCCCTAATCTCCCTCCTCCCCTCTCTCCATGCCACCGGCCTCACCTTGAATGGAGCCCCATTCAAGCCACCAATTAATGCCTTGATTACACATGAATTTGAAATCAATTTCCAATTAATCTTTCCCCTATTTCATTCAAAACCTGAAATTAATTTTAGGTTTTGAAATAACCCCCTCCCTCTCTCTATTGGACCCGCCGGCCCCCTCTTGATGGGCTCCATTAAATGCCCATTAATCCTCAATTCTATTTGATTTTTAAAATCAATTTCAAATTGTTTCACTCCAAATTTACTCAAAATCTGAAATTAATTTCAGATTTGAGTAAACCTCATTCTCCCCTCATCTAACCTAAATCCCTTCACCCAAGCCACCCGCCCCCTCTCTCTCTACCTTGGCCGCCCCTCTCATTTCTCCCTCCGTTGTGAATTTGGAAGCCAAGAGAAGAAGAAGACGACGTCCTTCCACCTCCTTTCCCCATGGGTACTCCTTCAACCCTTGGCGAGAATGCATAGCGGAACCTGAATGGAACTTTGGATTTGTGCATGACGATCGAGATCAGGTCCACATCATCCAATCACCATTCTTTGACGTGGGCTTTCATTTCGACGACGCCATTGAAGAATACTTCGACCGTTTCCATTACACCTTAGTTGACGTGATCGACGAGCAAAGGTCAAAGGGACGTTGGATCATCATTGGACGACAATCATCCTCCACCACTCCGACCACCTATCCAAGAACGACGATCCTAGGTTCCTGCTTCCTCGGAGTGACCTCGATTCTAATGTGGATAATCTTCTCTCGCCAAAGCCTAGTGGAGTTGAGTGATCAATCCCCGAGGTGAAACTCTCATTATTAAATTGTGGATTGTTAGTTAATAGCTCTTCGTATTGCTACTATTTTTGTTTATCTACAAGATTTGGTTAATCTACATGTGCTCCTTCGCCTAAGCAAGTGGAAAACTAAGGTTCTTTATTGAATTTCCTTGTTATTGCAATAAGTTATTGAGTGGAATTACATTGCCAATTTATTCTTAAGATCCTTAATGAGCTCCTGCGCATGTTGGTTTCACATCATTTATACAACAGGATTCAAGATTATAATTGGTAAATTCTATCAATTGAAAATACTCATTACATTGAAAATAAAGGAAGACATTCTCTAGCTTACACGCATTTATTTCCATAAAAACCTAAGAGGCATTTCCAACTCCTGAGGTTCACACATTACCAATGATGGATGGCCAATTTTGCAATCCCAAGAATTTCCAAGCTAGCTGCTATTTATGACAATAGAATGCTTAGAGGTACATGTAATAAAAAATAAATACAAAACATAGCTCAAAGTTAACCAACACTCTTAACTCTTGCAAGATGCAACAAAATAACTATGGGCATTCAGTGTAGAAAATGAGTAAAAGTATGAGGATGGATACCTAAATATATGAGCTAGAACAAAAATTTCAACAGTTCTACGACCCAGCTCTGTAAGGCGCCTCTCATCACGTTCAATGGAATCATTAAAATCATCAGAAGAACTTCCCTCCTATATATCAATATCATATTTCAACAACCGTTATTTATGAACACAAATGGCAGGAAAGCAGAAAAGATACAACTTTCCATAAGATCATAACCACAAGGCTCTCCCAACTTAATTGTTAACGGAATAAACAGAAGCATATCTAACATATTACTCATGCATAGTTATTATCTTCTTCTTTCAAAAACTCCAAAGATTAATTATGCAGAAGCAGCTATTAAAAACAATGCGACCAACAATGGATTGAAACACAAGCGAGGCCCTATATTTGACGTAGTAGAGCATTTCCTGGCCAAACATACCGTCCCTCATATTTTTAAAAAGAAAATGCATCTTTTCAGGGATGAGGAACTGTACATTTTGAGGTGATGATGCCATTCAAACAGTTAGGCATGTGTATGTGATCAGAATAACCACCCAAAGAATCCAATCAATGCAGTGATAATTTCATTAGAGACAGCTTTAGTCATTAAGAGAAAAAAAATAAAAAATATAACAGAACATCGACAAAACAGTAGCACATGAGAGCAGAAAACAGAAATGGAGAGACCGTAGATATAAAGACTTCCTATGAAAATCAGAAATGAGAAAAGGAATGCAAGTCAACAAATGTTTAATCAAATAGACGTTTCTTTATGAAACAATGAAATTTCTAGTAATGCACGGGAAAAGTTGTTGCTCCAAGAAATGCAAATATTTGAATGAATTCGTAACTATCTGCGCTTTCTATGAGCAAAAGATACATTTAGCATGAGCACTTGACTATTTGACAGAAAATGAAAAGATATGGTTTGCAATCATACGTACTCGATTAAGGTATCCCCTGAACTTTGGTTGCAACAATCACGTACTAAAATTCATTATTTCCCCAATATTCTCCATCTTAGCATATGAGGTAGGGTGTCTTAGGATTGGATTTCTAACACATCCAATATGAGATGCAACATCACTCAACAAGCACGAAATTCTTAGTTCACCAAAGCTTGATCATGACAATTATTCATACTGAAAACATTATGAAGATCAATTCAAATAAAAATATAATGAGTGTTTTCTAGTAATAATGGCTAAAATTTAAGGATCAAGAAGGTCACCCAAATGTTCTAAGTTCACAATTTTTTTTTAACCTAAATAAATCAAATTGATTGCAATTAATCAAACTCTTATATGAATAAAAAAATATTGACGAAGAAAAATAAAAGGAAAATTTTACCAAAAAGAAGTAAGCCACTCACTTCTACCAAAAGATAACCTCACCCAGAGCTCTTCAAGTCTCTCGCATGATCAAGGAATTGAATTTTTAAAGAAGAAGAAAAAGCAAATCAACTAAAAATTTAATTCACGCATCAGCGTCTTTTTTTCTTTTTGTGCAGGCCCCAGATCCCGCTATTTATAATCATAAACTCCAATAAAGATTTTCCATTAATAATCCTTTAAAAAATTAGAAAAAGGGACAAATTATTTTTTTTTAAATAACCAAGAAGATTCAATCTGTTAGACCGGTCCTCTATGGACCAGTCCAGCCGGCCCAGTCCCTTGGGCCGGTTTGGCATGTTTAAAGCAGGAGGGGGGCACATAGGAGAGAGGAAGTGGTGGGGTCCACTTGATATTCAAATTCAATCTTTGAGCCAAAAGGGGGGCGGCAAGGGCAATTAGGTCCTTTTGTATTAATTTTGAATTTCATGCATTAAGGGGGAAAAACTATGGTTAGGGCAGGTGAAATTTTCTGAAAGTTCTCTTGGGTTTCTCTTGTGGCTAGGGCTCTAGATTGTTTTCTAGAGATTGGGAGAGTGCGATCCTCCTCTCGAATAGAGGATCTCTTGTATTGTTGCTATTTTTCTTACATCTACCATTAATATCAAGTATTTTGGTGTGTTTTCTCTCAAGTTTTCCCTCTGTTTTCCCTCTGTTGGCTGCTGTTTTCCTGGTGTAAACAGCAGTTTGGTTGCTGTTTTCTACTGATTTGGGCTAGGAAACACTTGATTTCAAGTATTTCCTATCAAATTGGTGTCAAAGCAAGTCTTGGGACCAATCGTAGGCTGCTTTTGACAAATTTCAGCGGCTGAAATTTGTGCCGGCAAAGAAGAAATTGCTGAATTTTTTTTCCAGATCTAGAGATATTTCGAAAATTTCAAACCGTAGGAGATGGCGGCTAAGAAGGTGGATGCTTTGGAGGAGAGGCTTGAAGGAGAGATGAATCAAATCAAGGAGACCGTGGAAGAAAGAATTTCTTCCATGGAGGGGCAAGTGGCCTATCTATGGGATATGATGAAGAAGATATTGGAGTTTCAAACTCAATCGGCGGCGTCTGATGCAAAAGGGCCTGAAGCGAAAAACACCAACTCTGAAATCCATCAGGAGGAGGAGGAAGTGGAAATCGTGGAAGGGAGTAGGGGAAGACCTCATCTGGAACTTTTCCAGAGGGAGGAGAGAGGAGGAAGATATGGGGCAAGGCAAGGCTATGGAGGCGTGGAGTCAAGAGGTGCTAGTTGGGAGCACCAGGGGGGTTATTATGGACGCCGGGAGGCTGTTTTTGAAGATCGGAGAGGGGATATTGAAGGGGGATGGGGGCATGGTAGAGCAAGGGAAGATCGGGAGACATGGGAGGGGGGGGGGAGCAGGCACATGGGAGAGGAGAAATTATGGTGGATTAAGGGGAAATGGTGGGGATCAGAAGGTGAGGAAATTAAAAATGCCTATTTTTGAAGGGGAGGATCCCTATGGGTGGATTTACAAGGTGGAGAGGTACTTTGCCGTTAACGGATTAACGGAGGAGGAGAAATTATCTGCAGCGGGCTTATGTCTGGAAGGGAAGGCACTCTCTTGGTACCAGTGGAGAGATCAGAGGAGACCTATCCGGAGCTGGGAAGAATTCAAGGACAGTTTGATAGAGCGTTTCCAAACCGACCGGGGAGGAGACTTCTACGAGCAGTTCTTAGCCCAAGTGCAGGAGGGGTCTGTGGCGGATCGACTACCGAGAGAGATTTGAGCATCTGGCCAGCAGAGTAGAGCGCTTGTCCGATACTGTGCTGGAGGGGAACTTCATGAAGGGGTTAAAGGCAGATATTAGAGCAGCGGTGAAGGTCCTGATGCCCAGGGACCTGGGAGAGACCATGAAGCTTGCACAACTGGTCGAAAATCAAAAGAATCTGGAGAAGGGAGCTAGGATAGCAGCTCAGGAGGCACTTACAGGTGGACGACTACCCACCTAGCCTCCAAGGGAGCGTCCACAGGAGGGATGAAAGAAGTTCCGAAAGAAAAAGCAACAGGAGGAGGCAATGGGGGGCAGTTCAAGAAGCTTACTGAGAAGGAAATGCAAGAAGCGAACAAAATGGCTGTGTTTCTAATGTGATGAAAAATACATGCCAGGGCATAAGTGCAAGGATCGAACTCTTCAAGTTCTCCTCGTTTGTGAAGACGAGGAAGAAGAATAGGGAGGAGGGAGCGGATTTGAGGTGGAGGAGGAAAAGCTGCATCTGGATGTGGCAGAAGTCTCTCTTAACTTCATAGTGGGATTCACTCTGAGTCACACTATGAAGGTGAAAGGAGAAATAGCTGACCGTGAAGTTGTGGTGTTGATCGATAGTGGGGCCACCCACAATTTCATTTCCACCAAGATTGTGGAGCTACTGTGGATGGAGTTAGTAGATACAGGGGGCTATGGGTGATGATGGGCACGGGAAAGATAGAAATGGGAAGAGGAGTCTGTAGAGGGGTGGTGCTGAAGATCCAAGGTATCCAAGTGAAGGAAGTCTTCCTTCCCCTAGAATTGGGGAGTACGGATGTCATCCAAGGGATGAAGTGGTTACAGACCTTGGGGAAAACCAAGATCAATTGGAGTACTCTGAGGATGGAGTTGGTGAAGGGAGGAAGGAAGAGGGTGATTCGAGGTGATGCGGGATTGACCAAGGCAGGTGTTTCTCTCAAATCCCTAATCAAGACAATTCAGGAGGAAGGGGAAGGCTATTTGGTGGAAATACACAGATTGGAGGGAGTGAGTTTGGAGGAAGGGGGAGACATACCCCTCTATGTACAACTTTTGATCCAGGAATTCTATGATGTTTTTCAACCACCTCTAGGGTTGCCACCACCCAGGGAGCAGGAGCATGCCATCACATTGAGGGAGGGAGTGTCACCTGTCAGCGTACGACCTTATCGTTACCCTCAATTTTAGAAAGACAAAATAAAAAAGTTGACCAGAGAAATGCTGGAAGCAGGGATCATCAGGCCCAACACTAACCCGTTCTCTAGTCCTGTTCTATTGGTGAAGAAAAAAGATAGCAGCTGGCGGTTCTGTGTAGACTACCGCGCACTCAACAAAGAAACTGTACTTGATAAGTTTCCTATACCAGTGATTGATGAGCTGTTAGATGAATTGAGTGGAACAGTGATCTTCAGCAAGATCGACTTGAAATCAGAGTATCATCATATTCGAATGAAGAAAGAAGATGCGCCCAAGACCGCTTTTAGAACTCATGAGGGCCACTATGAGTTCCTAGTGATGCCCTTTGGCCTCACCAATGCCCCAGCCACGTTTAAGACACTCATGAATAAGATCTTCAAACAGTATCTCAGGCGATTTGTTTTGGTATTCTTCGATGACATCCTAGTGTATAGCAGAACAGAGAAGGAGCATTGGGGGCATTTGAAGAAGGTGTTAGAGGTTCTACAGGAGCACCAGTTGAGGGCTAACTTGAAGAAGTGCTGCTTCGCACAAGCCAGTGTGGAGTACTTGGGGTACGTGGTATCCAAGGAAGAGGCCACTGCCTAAAAATCCGAAGGAGTTGAGGGGATTCCTAGGGCTTACAGGGTACTATAGAAGATTTGTGAAGGGATACAGCGCTATAGCATGGCCACTCACTGAGCAGTTGAAGAAAGATGGGTTCCTATGGGGGGAGGCAGCCACGACAGCATTCAAGAAGTTGAAAAAAGCTATGACCACAGTCCCGGTCTTAGCTTTGCCAGATTTTACTCAGGTCTTCATAGTTGAGACAGATGCATCAGGGAATGGATTAGGAGCAGTGTTGATGCAGAATCACAGGCCCATTGCCTATTTCAGTCAGGTATTGACCGCAAGAGCCCGACTGAAATCTGCCTATGAAAGGGAATTAATGGCAATCGTTTTGGCCATCCAAAAGTGGTGCCCCGACTTACTCGGGAGACATTTCATCGTCAGGACCAACCAACGGAGCCTGAAATATTTGCTGGAACAACGCATGTTGACAGAGGTGCATGGGGGAGCTGCAGACAATGGTTGTATCAGTCCCAATGATATTGGACTGGGAAGCCATCAAGGAGGAGAGTGTCAGGTATGAAGAACTAGGCAAGATCAGGGCTGACTTACTAAAGGAAGAGGGCAGCCATCCATGGTACTCAATGGAGGGGGAGAGATTGTTGCACCAGGGGAGGTTTGTGTTGCCCAAAACATCAATTCACATTCCACATTTGCTCCAGGAGTCCATGGGACTATAGTGGGAGGTCATTCAGGGGTGCTAAAGACCTACAGGAGACTGGCGGCAGAGCTGTACTGGAAAGGTATGCATAAGGATGTGGAAGAGATGGTATCTAGGTGCGAGGTTTGCCAAAGGAATAAGTATCTTGCTATGTCACCAGGGGGGTTATTGAAGCCATTGGCTTTACCAGGTCTAGTCTTGGAGGAGGTATCTATGGACTTCATTGATGGGCTACCCCGCTCTAAGGGATTCACTGTGATTTTGGTGGTGGTGGATAGATTGAGCAAGTATGCTCACTTCATTCCTCAACGCCGTCCAAACACTGCGGTGACAGTAGTGTCAACATTCATCAGGGAGATAGTCAAATTACACGGGGTACCAGAAGCGATAGTGTCAGACAAGGATAAAGTGTTCCTCAGCCATTTCTGGAAAGAATTGTTCAGACTGCAGGGGACTGTGCTGAAAAGGAGTACTGCTTACCACCCACAAACGAATGGTCAAACAAAAGTAGTCAACCGGAGCTTGGAGACTTATTTGAGATGCTTTGCGTTAGAGACACCTAAGCTATGGGCTAAATGGCTATCATGGGCCGAGTATTGGTACAATACCTCATTTCATTTAGCTCCTAAGATGACCCCGTTCAAGGTGTTGTACGGAAGGGACCCACCCCACTTGGTGCATTTTGGGAGTAGCAGTACTCCAGTTTCTTTAGTAGATGAGTACTTGGAGGAGATGGATAAGATACTTGAAGATTTAAAAAGACATCTGTTGAGAGCTCAACAGATTATGAAGAAACAAGCTGATGGGCATCGAAAGGACATTCAGTTTGAAGTGGGCGAGATGGTGTTTTTGAAACTCCGTCCATATCGACAGAAAACGGTCGCCAACCGAAGAAATGAGAAGCTTGCTCCAAGGTATTTCGGTCCTTATGAAGTGTTGGAGAAAATTGGAGTCGTGGCATATCGCTTGAAGCTACCACCTACGGCGACGATCCACCCCGTTTTCCATGTATCCCAGCTGAGGAGAGCCATTGGAGATTATGTTACCAGTTCGGAGTTACCAGGGACACTAGCTGATGAGATGGAAATGATATTAGAACCTTTGGAGCTTATGGAGATTCGTCAGAAAGCAGATGGAGCTACAAAAGTCCTGATTAAATGGAATAACCTCCCTGACTACGAGGCCACGTGGGAACCATACGAGCGGATGAAACGACAGTTCCCGGACTTCCACCTTGACGACAAGGTGGTTCTTTGGGAGGGCGGTAATGTTAGACTAGTCCTCTATGGATCGGTCCAGCCGGCCCAGTCCCTTGGGCCGGTTCAGCATGTTTACAGCAGGAGGGGGCCGGCGGCACATAGGAGAGAGGAAGGGGTGGGGTCCACTTGATATTCAAATTCAATCTTGGAGCCAAAAGGGGGGCGGCAAGGGCAATTAGGTCCTTTTGTATTAATTTTGAATGTCATGCATTAAGGGGGAAAAGCTAGGGTTAGGGCAGGTGAAATTTTCTGAAAGTTCACTTGGGTATCTCTTGTGGCTAGGGCTCTAGATTGTTTTCTAGAGATTGGGAGAGTGTGATCCTCCTATCGAATAGATGATCTCTTGTATCGTTGTTGTTTTTCTTATATCTACCATTAATATCAAGTATTTTGGTGTGTTTTCTCTTAAGTTTTCCCTCTGTTTTCCCTTTTTTTCACTCTGTTGGCTGCTGTTTTCCTGCTGTAAACAGCAGTTTGATTGCTGGTTTCTACTGATTTGGGCTAGGAAACACTTGATTTCAAGTATTTCCTATCACAATCCAGCCAACATAGAAAAAAAAATGTTGAAGACTTGGCAAAATAAGGAATTACAAAACTAAAAGCCACATAAGGTATCAACTAGACAGGTCGGCAAGGAAGGCCACTGAATAAACCCTCAAAAGTCAAAGAAAGAGATGGAAGAAGAAGCTGGAGGAGAATCAACGTAATTCTATTCAGCTTGAAAAAATCCAACTTACATGAATTGCTCAAATCAAACAAATATGCACATAATTATTAACTTCCTACATCAAAATCGATGAGTCATCAAATTCAGCCTTATCATGTTAGTGCATGAGATATCATTGATAATCGTCATCATTAATGGACAAGTTCTCATCAACTATTATAATCTATAGCGCAAAATTAACAAAAATTTGAATACAATGCAAAAAATGTGTAGGGCAAGAATCCCAGCAAAAGAATTTAAAAGAGAAGAAATTAAAGCATTGATTAATGGTTAATGATATAAGGTTAAACCAAGTGCATGGAAAACTACACAAATAATAAAAAAAAAAATTAGATTTCCAAATTGTTAAGTATTCATCCCTACACATTGTATGAAATTAATTGGAAGTTAATTTCATAAAAATTCATGAGCAAACGGTTTAGAGTTTATACCAAATTAGTTTATATCCTTGTATGAATTCCAAAAATTTGCAATTCAAATCTACATTAGTGTATAATTGTCAGGGTTGAGAAGTTTCTTGCAAACACTTTCTCACAAATTATGCATGATTAATGGATAACGTAATAATATATTATGTTAAATTATTTATATTTTTACTTATGGATAAACTATAATTAATTCCTAAAGAGTAAAAATGTCAAGAAAATTTTATATTTATTAGAATCCATAAATTTTCTTTTGATAGATGGAAAATAAAACAAAAATAATTTGTCCTAAAAATGGATACACCCTCTTTAAATAAATTTAAAGATTAATTGACATGAATTATGTATCTTTAAATTCAAAGATAGAGTTTCCCATTCTCTTAAAGATAAAAAATCATTAATATATAAAAGAATATGCTGATGTACCTTGAATCATTTTATGAGTAAAATTCGTATCGATTTGATCATTCATCATGGGAATAATATTAGACAATAATGCCAAAAGAATCAACTAAACAAGTTACTCACTTGATCTAACATCTTCAACATATAAGATATATTCAATTTCAAATTCAGGTTGAGGTTTATCCTCAGATATAATCTCAATATAAACTTAAAATTCAAATAGTTGATTACATTAATCAATATATTCTATTGTAGGTTTTCATGAAACATCAAATTCAGAAAAATCAGATGTGGAATGTTATTATAATTGTAAATCAGTTTTCGCATCTAATTCATCATTTGATGAATATAATTGAATTAAAGTTTTTTAAATGAAATTTAAATTATCCATGATTTTATAGTTGGCGTGTTTTAGACAGGCATGATGTCAATATGTGCAAATTTTTTCTTTAATAAGGTAATTACTAGAAAGAAAACTGATGAAGAAAGGTCACTAAACCAAAATATGTAGAGAAGCATTACAAAGACTCAATTAACAAGCCATTTAAGAAGAATCAGTATCACTATCCCTCCTTGCAATATCTTATGGAGAATAACTTATACGGACCAAGAAACTTGGAATCTAATGGTTAGTCCTAATTGCTCGAATAGAATAAAATTAATTCCAAGGCTTAATAGATTGGAGAAATAACTACAAATAAATTTTAATTCTAATATCCCATCTCATGATTAAAAGCCCTTCGTCTATTCTTTTCCCAAGGCAAAGAGACGGATTTTGCAAAGGGCAAGGAAGGAATAAAAGAGGGTAATAGATAGTTATTTTAAATTTATTATTTTAGGAAAATAGTGCATTTTCTTATGATCAATTGATTGTGAACTTATATTTCCTGAGAAATTATGTCACAGCTACAAGAACAAACTATAAATTTAGTAAAATTAGACTGCATGAAGCAGCATCATTTGACAATACGCTAAACAGTCCATGGCTAAAGAGAAACAAAGTAAACAGCTAACAAGGCCACCAGAAGTGCCGACATATTAAAAGAAAAGGATTTAACAAAATATAAAAGCAAAAACAATAATGTTTATCTAGGTTTGAGAGTCCTATCATATCAATCACTACATCGACAAATTTAACTAAAAATTTAGTGAAATGTGGGTTCAAGAGAACTAGATGCTACAAACCCATGCCAAAGTGAAGTAACAAGTCATCTAACCTTAGTACGATTCTGGGAAACCTTTCCATCTTTAGGAGGCAAAGACATTACAGGCAAGGGTTCTGATGCCACCCTATCGAGCAATGATATGACATCATCAGCCAAAACAAACATATCTTTATCAACTCGAACCATTGGAACAGCTGATTCCTCCATTTCTATCCTCTTTCTTTCTTTCTTATTCTCGCTTTGGTATTCAAGAGCCTTCAGACCACTATAAAGGGAATCCATAACTAAGGTAGAAGTAACTTCCTTCTCTACGAAAAAGTGTTTCACAATTACTCTCAATATTGTGTCTAACTTGTCCCTTGATATGCATCGTCTTGAATTTTGGTCAATCCCTAACCAGAAGGAACAGAAACTGAAAACAACAAACGAAGATTTAATCAAAGGATTATACTTTAACAAGCATTAAGCTGGCATTAAAAAAGTGAACTTACAAGCAAAACTATTCTTAGCTCAAAACTTAAGAAATAACAGAAGATAAAGTGAAATCAAACTGAAGGGACAGGATCTACCTCGACCATCTCACTTTATCATCAATCAATTTATTGAGTTTGTTTTTCCTGTCTTCAAAAAAGCGCCGACAAATTTGCTCTACATTTGATAGATATACCCGAAGTAATTCTCTTCTGTATTGGTAGTCAAGGCAACGAAAGGGGCGGTGTGCTTTCTCCCTCAAACAACAAAATGCAGAAGTGGATTCAATTAAGGAAAGGTATTATGGGATTGTCATTCAAAGAAAGCAATCATCGTATAGAAGCTAAAGCTAGCAGCTTCAAAACCATTATTGACATCGAAAATTATACTTTGAGATTAAAAAAGAGAACTTTATATCAAATTATAAAGCTATTTACTAAATTTGGCAGTGAATGATAGGTTTGGAAGAGAAAAAACATGTAATATATGTTCCAAAACAATAAAAAAAAAAATCATGAATGACGGTAAAGCAGTCCACAACCATATGGCATCAGCTCTTTTGTATATGGGTATGCAAAACTTCATGAACCCATTCCTTATATTTGCATCCTCGTATCTTTAGTAGTTTTAGATTTCATTTGGAGCATATAGACAAACTAAAAAGCCAGATCGACGAGGAAGGAAAGCCAATGTCCACTAATCAAGGGCAAGGCTAAATCATTCTCAGATTTGCAATCCCTCACTTATCGCATAAACAAAACTATGAAAAGAGCTTAAAACTTCACTAGTACACTTTATATGCATAGTACATTTACAAAAAAATTTCTATAAGGCATGCTCTGCCACTAGATTGACTATCCATAATTGCATCATCCAGCAAGTAGATCATACTGCAAATGGACATATTTATTAGGATATTTATGAATCTCCATATCCATATACAAATTATCTTCACAACGAGTCATCCAGTCAAAGATTCAAGCTTATAAGCAACCAACTAATAAAAACAATCTGGGTTGGTTTTCCACGGCCTGAGCCTGACATAGGATTTTTTTGTTTCAATTTCATTATAATATTGTCTTGTACAATAAAACAATAAAATATAATAAAAAACTTAAAATGGTTAAAAAAAGCTAACTTTAAACAGAATAGAAAAATCTTTCGTTTGAGTTGTAACAAAGAAAAGAAATCACATCCAATAAAATTCAAATAAATTGCAATCAGTCAAACTAATAAAAAAATCATAAGTCCTACCATTAACAATAGATAGCAATTAATTTAATTTTAGACTAAGAATGATACTACAAGAAAAAAAAAAAACAGAGTTTTATTCTTTCATAGCAAGAATTTAGGGGAGAAATCCATACATCTAATTAAAGAATCTTGTAATATAAATACATATATACGTGTGTGTGTATAAGTGCGTGTGATGGATTGTCACGAGTCGGATGCCCTCCATCACACACAAATAGCTAAATCAAAAGGTTATTGGGCCATCCCATGAATTTTGTTTCAACTAAGTCCCTCCAACATTCAAGTCAATTACTAAAGTAGAAGGTGAATAAGAGCTGAAATTACTACAAGTAAGGTTCTCCTAAAAGATGAAAATTTGAGAGAGAGTCTTACACAAGTCCTTAGGTATACTTGTATGAATTTAGATGAAGGACATTTTGGTACATTTGCTAAACGTATAATGGATAGATAAGTCATCACCTCTAAGATCCATGCCAGATAAAATGCCCCTCAATGAAGAGTACGAAGTTCCTCTATTGTGCTACCTCTAAGATCTTTGTTGGACTGTCCATAACAATAACGAAGAGATTAACGAAGGCCTAGGCTCAAGGCTTAATGCTGATGGAGATCTAAATCGAATAATGGATCAATAGCAATGGCTTTAAAAAAGATGTCAATGATGACTTGAAATGCAAGGTCGGATTTATGTTGAAACTTAATAATGCCATGCACATCATCAAGGTCAATTAAAAGAAGCACATAAAAATCATGATATAATCAAGAGGTATAAGAGAGAAAATTATGCATCTTTGTCCTCCTATTATTGTATGATTGCACGAAGATCATCCAAGTACAAATCTAAATTTCCTTCATTGAACTAACAAAACTAATTAAGATATATGTTTAGAAGTGAAAATTGCATAAGAGCATTTCCAAAACTCCTAGTGGCTATTAAGGAGGTATCCCATGGAGCATGCACTACAACCATGTGGGCAATGGTCCCATTCAAACTTTTTGATGTATTAGGTTGGCTCTTTTGGGCTGAACATCACCTTATCGACATCTTTTAACCATTAAATCAAGTTATTCCATCCTAAGATCATCGCAAAGCTCTAAGATGGTTTTCAACTAAAGGGGGCTTGGATTGATAGAACTTCAAAAACATCGCAACGCTCACATCATAATTATTTTAAATTGAAATTTGAAAACATCAAAGCTCTAGAAAGAATTTCGGATGAACGACTTGAGATTTGGTAAAACACATGATATAAGCAATGGGACCAATTTGAAAGCTCTCAGTTCTCAAATCCAAGAGAATGTTTAAGCTAGTCTTTAAGAATTGCTTATAGTAAAGGAGACTCAAATTCAAAAAAGTACATTTGAAAAGTCATAATGAAATCACCACCAAACTTACAAAAAAAGATACACAATAATACATAGTAATCTATTTGAGCTAAAAAGAAAAAATAATTTTGAACTCTTATTAAAGAATCCAAATTAAGGGGCAATCAATATGGTCATAAAAATAGTTCATCATTAATTCCAATAGATCAATCAAGGATGCTAAAATCAACACTCTGATAGTGCAGCATTACTTAGGCTTCATTTGGGACAACATTTTGTTGCTTTTTAAAGCAGCTTTCTAGTAAAATAGAAAATTTTTGTGAGCAAAAAGTTGCTTTGCGAAGCAATAAGAAAGTTGTCCCAAACTAAACCTTAATCTATCATTAGTATTTTGTGTAGCTAAATGGGTCTTCCTATAATTATAGATTAATCCTCGGTAAGAAACATTGAGGAGTTTTTTTGAAAAGAGTTGATGAAAGGCTAGAGAGTTCACTTTTTTAGGTATTGTTATTACTCTATCAATTAATAAGTTTAGAAGAGCTATAAAAATCACAACTTACTGAAAAACAAATTATAAAAGGTCATTTCTTTTGAGGTTTTTTTTTTTTTGGAAAGTAAAATTTTATAACTAATTAATGAATAAGATACATGAAATCACAATTACATTGGAATTGCCACCAATAAAGAAAAACAAATTACATTGTGTCAATATATCCCTTTTCTATTTGTGAAAAAAAAAGACAATTGAACTAATAATACTTCTAATAACATCCTAGAAGATTAAAATGAAAATGCATACCTATCGTATTCGATAGAAAGGATGAAAGCTCTTGCAGTATAGCAAAGAATGATGTCTAGCAAAAAAAATCTAGTAGTCATAATATGCACTATAATATTTGCATAACAACTGTCTGGATTTTCCTTTTTCAAGAAAGAAAAAGGCCCTTTACAATTAAAAGAGCTGGATCAATGAATAACCTAGCTGTACCAAAACACCTATTGGAAACCTTCCTCATTACAAACTTCAAGTTTAGCCAACTTTTGCTATTAAAAACTTGAAAGTACCTCATCAAGAAATAGATATATTCTTTAGTAATGACATCATCATGAGATCATCACATTATTCCATCTTGATACCTTTCATTACTCCCGCAACATAAACAGAACTTTTTTCTTTGAGCTCAACACCTGTAAGAAAACTTGTCTACTAGATAATCAAGTATTGTGATTTAATATTGGAGCCGTAATTTGATAATACTTTAGTGCTATTAGCACGAACCTCTATCAAAGAATATACCATGTGGATAGGTTCCTAATGTGTATGTTAAAATGGATACTTTATTTTAATTCTCTATGACCTTCTGTCACCCTAGTTTAGGTTGATGTTCCACATCTACGGATTCATTATTTCAACCAAGATATTTTGTACTTCACTACACTCATTTTTTGGTAAATCGCTTCAAGTTTATGTTGCTATTATTAAGCTATCCAAGCCATCAGGGCTAAGGTTATAATAGATGAATTAGATGTATGTTCCCCTTTTGAAAAAAAAAATTTGATTGGCTCCACATCAAATGGCCACTAGCAGAGGGTTAAGTATAATGAATTCTCCCTTATTATTTTTCTTGCAAAATATGTGTTCACAAATTCTTAGAATGCTTGAGGCCATATAGAGAATAGTGAAAACCTCCCAAGTAATTATGGATTGCAGTGGGGATCTTTGATCTGACAAAATCTTATCTTTTAATAAATTGTGGCAATTTAATCTACTTCTAATTTGATATGCACTCAAAACTTAGAATCACTTTGGATCTTGTCCCGGAATCAATGCCTTCCAAGGTTGCTAGCCTAACTCTAATGCAAACTCTCATGATTAATGATCCAATCTCTCAGATTTTTTTTCTTATTTCTTCTGATGGTCTTCTTGATGTTAGGGATGTAGTTGATCCAAGCTTCTTTTTTTTTTCATTGATATTAGCATTTATTTGAACAAAAAAGCTAACGGACAAAAAAGTTCTAAATTTTCTATGCTATGATGGAAAAAATAAAAAAAAAGCCTATCATCACTCTATAAAATATGATAGGCTCCAAGTTTGATGGTTTTAATGTGCCCCCACTAGGGATTTTCCTTCCATTGGCATTGTCGATATATTTTATCTAATTCTTTTGATCTAAAAATGCTTTGGTATTGCTTTGTGCTCTACATTTTTTATTGAATGATAATAAATCTTATTTTGTTTTAAGAAAATTATCACCATTGACCCAACTACAAGCCCATCTTTTTAAAACCCTCATTTGATGTAAGTGTTGTACCAATATGATCAGTTGCAAATTGTGTAACATAATTGAAAAGCTTTAGCAATTTCATCGAGTTTACATCAAGCCATGGTTTAAAATTGCGCAATATGAGGCTCGCCTTGAAGCCCGCCTTTGCGCAATTCCAGTAAAAAACGCCTCGAAGCTTATGCCTCGAGTTTTTTTATGAGGCTTGCGCCTCAACTTGGTTGAGGCCTGCCTCGCCTCACTGGCATGAGGCTTACGCCTCACGCTATATATATTAAAACTTACATAAATCTTGAAGTAAATGCCTGACATTGGATTATATAGGAGAGGAGGAAGGGGAGAGAGCAGTTCCTCATAATGATGATTCAAATGAATAACCCCTTAATGATGACAGTACTGATGACTTATGAGTTCTTATTTGATATGTCATTGCTATTTATTTTTGGAAATTGAAATTATATGTTAATGAAAAGAATACTAGGATTTGGGAAAGATAGAATTTTGAGTTGAACTATATTTCATGTTGTCTTATTATTGGGTTATTTTGATTTCACTTCATATCTTATGTTTTTTTATGTTTTATATTATTTACTCATTAGTATATAAAAAATTTAACATTTTATGTTTACGCAATCTTTTGACTTTGAGGCTTACGTCTCAAAACGCCTTGAGGCTTACGCCTCGCCTCACGAATAAAAACGCCTCAATACCCGAATACGCAATTTTAAACATTGCATCAAACTACTTAATAAAAATGCATTTGTTAGTTTAATGGACGGTTTGGGTTGAAATGCTCATGAATTATGTGATAGCTAAAAGCTAACTTTCAATTACATGGTATAGCTGTATCGAGCGGCAAGTAATTGTTCGATAGCAACCTGAACTTTAATTTTATAGGGTAACTGGGAAGGCAAGTATCTTAAACCTATAGTGTCATGCGTATATTTAATTTTTTTAAAGATAAAGTTTTTCAGGCCAACAAATCTAAATCATTGCCTTAGATGATTGAGTGTTTGCATGCAGGATTAGTGCTCAAGAAAAAAAATTTGGTAAGTCATATTTCAAAAATGCAATTCTAATAAGATGAGAAAAATGTCATAACTTGAGTACTCAAAATATTAGTATAAAATTTCATAAATTTAATTAATTAACTAGTTATACTTTTTGACAAAAGACTGCTTTTATATTTTTTTATGACTACTAAATACCAGCTAAGAAAATTTTTGAAGTCGTTATTATTAGAAATATTTTGTCATTAAATAATGTAGTTATAAATAGTTTTTTGGAATTTTTTCTCTAACTTAGACTTTAAATAAAATTTGATGTTGTATAGGAAAAAAATAATGACAATTTAGGGGAGGAGTGGGACCCATGGCCCAACATGACCTAAACCCCACCACCTCAATTGAGGCAATAGGCGAACTAACCCCCAACCTTTTAAATCCTTGTTCAAGATGAGGTCAAAGCAAATGAGAGCTATAGAGGGGGATGAGAGAAAGATCATGATTGAGAGACAGAGAAATGTTGAGCAACACAAGAAGGCAAAGCAATATAATATAGGGCGATGACAAGAAATTAGTTAACCAAATAGTCCAAAAAGGAAAGCAAGTAAATTAGAGAAAATGAGTGTCAAACAATAAGATCGAGAGAGAGGGAAAGGGGGAAATGTTCCATGATCAGTGACATGCAATTTTGGTGAGGAGCCCTCCTTCAACACCGCTTTGAATTCTTTCCTCTCTCCCTCTTCTTCAATTGTTCTTCTTGAGTGAGCGAGAGATCAAGAGAGCAAGCAAGGGAAGGACTAATGAAGACACAAGTTGAAGCAAACAATGCATTAACTTTAGATGCTATTAATGGGAACTCGTACTTGGATTTTCCATCCTCCACATCTAGAGCTTGGAGTTGAGGTAGACCTAAACGCTAAATTTCCTTAAAATTCTTTTATGCATAATTATCTTAGGTATAGCAAGAATCAAAATTATGAGAGAAGGTATAGTTCTAAATTTGATCAAAATATGGATTAAAATGTTACATGCTTGGAATAAGTCTAAAGTTTTCCAAATTTTAAAATTTGTTTTTAATAGTTGTATCTCGAAAAATAATTACTTAAGAATGAAAAAGAACACTTCATATACTAACAGTGGGGATTTTCATATGAATATCATGATTACATAAAATTTCAAAAATACAAAGTAAATAGAACCTATCTATATAAATATGAATGTATTGAAGACTCTATAATTATTATGATTGGTGAATTGCATGATATTATATTTAGTCAAGATAACAATTCTTGTTAGATAAATTTAAACTTTAATCATGCGGAATTATATTTCCTAATAAATTTATCGATGATACTACAAATGGTGATGAACTGTAAGAGATAGCATTCATTATAATTTATATAAATTGATATGTAAAATTGGTATGTATATTGCTGACAATAGCTAATTACAGTAGGCAACAAGCCATCTCTATCATATCAGTGGGTTCAATTGGTTTCGATTACAGCTGACAAACACGTAGAACTAACAAGTTCATTCGGAGATGATGGACATGCCTAATAACAAATGAGACATCATTGTACAACTTTTTTTATAGTATAAGCTATCATCATTTAAAATTGGGATTTTATCATGGAGGAATACATCTCACTAGTGCATGCTACATTGGTTCATGAATCAAATGGTCATCAATTCTTTATGAGGGATCACAATAATCTCCAACTCTTTTGAGGGACCAATTTGGTCCTTTAACTCTATATTAAATAAATATTTAATTAAAAATTATCTAAAATATCTTTACATTTAATATTATTAACTCCAACATTGAATGTTAGGGCAGAAAATCTACCATTTTAAAGAATTAAGAAACCAAATTGGTCCCTAAAAAAGTTAGGGACCATTTTGGTCATTTTCTCTATAATTAATTGATATTGAAGATACTTGTTTATAGAATGGATAAATGATTATGAAATTGGACCTCTTCCATATTAACATGTATGCTTAAGTTTAGCACTAGATATAGAGCTTCCTGCTCACCCTACTATATATTATTACTTTTTAAAAAAGTGTTCATATCCTTGAAGATTAAGAAATTCATTAATATGGAGAATAAGCAAAAGTTGGAGATCAGATGTTAGCAAATAGATTATAAAATTTTATGTGGCTTCTTTATTAGTGCATGTTATATTTATCTGCGCAAATTCCTTCAGAAATGAATGGTTAAAATAATTTGTTTTATTATATTTGGTGGACGAATTTGTGTATGATTTTTGGACTAAGTAGCTTTAAATTGGTTTGATGGATATTAATTATTTATGTAATTGCTAGGGTCATACATATTGAATTGTAAATGGTTAAAAGTCACCATGTCTAGCAGGCTTAGTGCTGAAATTTTCAGAGAAATTTGGCCAGGGTATGACTCTTATTTTACCTTTCCACTTACTTGAGCATTGGAGGGTCCTCCTACAAAAATACTTGGATTGGCCTACTGAACTTTTTGTTCTAACTAATTGTGTGCAAGACATAACATGAGGCTGAGGACAATCTATCTACTCAAACTCTACCAACATTAAAGCTCATTTTTAACTTGATATATATATATATATGAGTTCTTGATTTCTATGTACATATAATTAAGAAACTTTTCTTTAACGTGCAAGAAAGCTAATAAAATATTTAAAAGCAAAATGGTTCACACATGTTTCCCCTAGGACAACTTCTAAAAGAATCTACAAAACATAACCTAGCCATAAAAAATAGTGTCTACATTTTTTCCAAGGAGTGGAACTTGCTAATGTTTTAAATAGACTGAAAGTAATCGAATATCAAACATAGCATAGTTGGCCTAAGTTTATAAACTGATACCTAATTACTTGAACTTGAGCTTTGATGAGAAGAGTCTCATTATTTACAAATCCATCTTCCACCTTAGTGAGTTCCATAAATTTTTTCCAACCCCAGTCATGCTCTTTCTTCCAGAAACGGTGCAAAGTATCTAGCAAGCTCATATACAAGTATAAAAATCAATTTATTGAAAAAACTAAATCTGAAAAAACTATCAAGAGGCATCAAATTTTAAGAGGTTACTAATCAATCCAACTAACCAGAGAACTTGGAAAAGTTTGGATCCTTATTTACAACAGATATTGTAAACTGTGCAAAATGACTCCATCCTGTCAGCAAATTCACAAAAAAGAAAGACAGTAAAACATTAAAAATTGTCACTTTTCAAAAAAATAAAAAATAAAGTGAACACAAACCAGGAAGAAGCTTGTCATGATTAGCAACACAAAGAAACAGAGATAGATGGTTGCATACATCACATCCCTGTGGATATATTAAAATATACCTGCAAAGAAATTGAAGAAATCGATATAAAACAGGTTACATGCTTAGTTCGAAGAAAACACTTGCAACACACTTGCTGATATATGTCTTATGATAAAAGGAACGTAAACAATATCAAAATTGAGTAAACTATACAATAGATGCCTTGCAAGTAATAAAATTATTCACCAAGGACTTCTCGAAGCATGGAACTACAAGATGCCATGAAATAATAACTAGTTGAGCAATATAACCTCATAAATAATATTGAACAATTACAATGAAAGGTGCGCCAAAATTGCAAAAGAAATGCAGAAAAATAATTTGTAAAAATCATTACAAAATTGTGCCATAGAAGCTTAACACTCAGTAAAATAATTTTCCAAAAAAAAAAATTCTTAACAGTATAGAAAAGAAAATTCCGTCCTAAATAGAATTGAATTCACATACAAGTACCCAGGTGCTGGAGGGCCAAGACACATCAGCATGGTTTCCTTGTTTCAGAGAATCAGTTACAAGGAATGTCAATTAAATATTGCTCAACTAGACATTCAACTCCTAATTAGCCAAGCTAGTTCAATCATTTGTAATTATATATTTAAACTTATATCAATATTTTCCTATGACAAAGAAGATACAATTAGAAAGCAATATTACAATTGAAATGGAAACACGCATCAATTTCTCGCCCAGTACCAGTTTGTTATTTTTATCGATAATTTACACTACCTACTATAAAGTACCACACTTACCTAATAGGCGATAACAACTCACATTCACACCTGATAAACGATTTAAAAATCCTAATCAAGTTATAAGCTTCACAACCTCATAATTGCATTAATTTAAATATGATAAAATGCCGCATGCTGCATGCAGCATATGTGAAAGCTAATATATGACTTAAACACACCGGTGCATGCCTAGAAAATAATGATGACCCTTTTGGCAAGAACGTCAAATTTAGCAGTACACTTACCACTTATAACCACCAACTTCAAAGGGATTACTTCGCAATTCACGTTTGTTTATTTGTGAATAATTTTCAATCTTCCAAGTAAATTTCCCATAAAGCTCAGAAGGTCTGGGTCCTGAAAAAACAATAATTGTTAGTAAATCATTTCGAAAGGGGAAAGAAACTATGATCCACATTGGAAAGTTATTGATAAATTTTAACATGAAAAGAATCAAAGACAGTGAAAAAAATAAACCAACACAAAAAGAAGACAAAACTTGTTCTCCTGAGCCATTTGAAAATGAACTCACCAGCCAATATTTCAATTTTAAGAATAGATTTAAGAATTTAAATTCATAATAAATCATCTACAGATACAAAACAAATATATAGAATGAGTAGCCAGAGCAAATTACATTTCATCAGTTCAATAGTAGAAAAATAATAAAGAGAATGTTGCAATTTTACAAAGCAGTCAAATTAAGGGGATACTGAGTTAATAAGTGCATAACATAGCATTACATCACAAATTAACTATAGCACAATTAACAAATATAATAGTACGCCTGCCAATTTGATCCACAAGTACCATTCCCCTTTGGTTCACAACATCTAAAATATAGGATTTCTATGCAATTAAATAATGCAGTAGACGTAAATCACATAAAACAAAATTGAGAACTAATTAAACAAATACTCACTTTATTTTGATATCAATTAAAAATACGATAATTTTGAATCAAATGATAATTCCATGGTTGATTAAATCTTAAAAAAATAGCTACAAATTAAAACCAAAAAATTAATGAGTCGCAAAAATTAAAATTGCAAATAAAAGTCCAACAACAACAACATCAAGCCTTTGTCCCACTTCGTGGGGTCGACTACATGAATCATTTTTCGCCATTGTGTCTGTATTAAAAGTCCAATTATAATAAATCTGTCTAAAATAAAGAAAGCTCACAAAGCCAAAATTAATATATTTAGTAGAATAAGAACAATGAAAGAGA